GCGGCGGCTGTTGATTCCTTAGCCGCGAAGATCACAAGCGATTGGGGCAGAGTGTGTAGCTCATAGTATAGGCCCTGTTATCCCTCTCCTTGTTGCTTTATGCGCGATGTATGATTAGTCGATCAAAACACTTTCAATTGCTTGCTGACTCACTCTCTCTCCTATACCTGTCTATTCCCCATCACTCATGGTTGGGCACATACACACTAATCTGTCTATGAATGACCAACACCTGCCCAAAACAGGTGCAGAACAGCCAAGGGGTTGCATCAACAACCACTTCCAGGCGCTTCCTCCCTTTTTCTCCATCCATCACACTGCATGTGTCTCCCTCTCCACCTTTGCCCTCATCACCAGTGTTTGCTTGCCATGCTAACCATCTCTCATGCCCCCTACAGAGACCTCAGCTACAATCCTCTTCGTGGAGGCTTGGATGTGCTCCTTAAAACGTCCTCAACTGGTCAATTACAGTGAGTTCTCAAGTTGTAGTTCATCATTGTGCGATATGTGAATCAGAAATGGTTGTATCGGATGTTAATATTGTCAAGTTGTACATCTCCTGCTCATCCTACTTGCTTCAAGTTGGATGATCGTAATTCCAAGGTTTATATATCTACCTTCATTCTTCCTTTATATCCCTACCCTCTTGACCTATACCCACAAATCAATCCCCCTTTCCTCCCATCCCCACCTCATTATCCCCCCTTCTTTCTTCCCCTCTCCAACACGTTTTTCATCTTCTGTCCTTAGGATGCTATATGCCGCATCATGCAACTTCTCAGGCCCATATCCATCCTACCCCAACATAAATTTCGAAAGGCTGTAAGCTTCTCATGGATATCCAAGTGGTACGTTTGAATAGAAGTTGCACATCAGTCTCGACGTAACTAATCAATGCCTGTATAAGGTACAACTCTCTGTTCCAAAGTACAGTCAGATTCCGTAATTCTCTGTTGCATGTCTCTCTGCATTTGTCCATTTGTTGTCCGTAGATAAAAAACCTTAGGTGCCTAAGGTGTCATGTGAATAGGCAAGATCAAATCAATAGGCAAATGGACTTTGTGTGACGTGCTCATTCAGCAGCTTTACCCAGATGCACAAATTCTCCTAAATCTTCCTTCTTCGTTCCTGTGTTTCTTACCCCATCCAATACTATATCCCCACTCAAATCACTGCCTTCAAGCTTTATTGCCCACCTTCCCATACGGCCCTTCCTCCTCCACAATGATGTGTCTAACAACAGCTTCACTGGACCCTTCCCCTCTAACCTCTTGAATGCGGGAAATTACATTAGAGACATGTAACGCATTCTCAATCAAGTCTCATGGGCTTCTCAATGATGTTTCACAAACGTCTTCTTTCCGTTTCATGCAACAGTGCCTCCAGAAGCCGTTCACACTCCAATCATTTCAAACAAGACGTACACTTCATTGCATCCAAGCCATATAACCTTCATTGCATCCAAGCCTTATAACCTTCATTGCATGCGAGCCATATAACCTTCATTGCATGCAAGCCATATACCCTTCATTGCATGCAAGCCATATAGCCTTCATTGCATGCAAGTCATATAACCTTCATTGCATGTAACCCATATACCCTTCATTGCATGCAAGCCATATAGCCTTCATTGCATGCAAGCCATATAACCTTCATTGCATGCAAGCCATATACCCTTCATTGCATGCAAGCCATATAGCCTTCAGTGCATGCAAGCCATATACCCTTCATTGCATGCAAGCCATATAGCCTTCAGTGCATGCAAGCTATATACCCTTCATTACATGCAAGCCATGTAACCCACATTGCATCCAAGCCATAAAACCTTCATTGCATCCAAGCCATATAGCCTTCATTGCATCCAAGCCATATACCCTTCATTGCATGCAAGCCATATACCCTTCATTGCATCCAAGCCATATACCCTTCATTGCATGCAAGCCATATACCCTTCATTGCATGCAAACCATATAACCTTCATTGCATCCAAGCCATATAACCTTCATTGCATCCAAGCCATATAACCTTCATTGCATCCAAGCCATATAACCTTCATTGCATCCAAGCCATATAACCTTCATTGCATCCAAGCCATATAACCTTCATTGCATCCAAGTCATACACCCTTCATTGCATCCAAGCCACATAACCTTCATTGCATGCAGCCATATACCCTTCATTGCATGCAAGCCATATACCCTTCATTGCATGCAAGCCATCTAACCTTCATTGCATGCAAGCCATATACCCTTCATTGCATGCAGGCCATATACCCTTCATTGCATGCAAGGCATATACCCTTCATTGCATGCAGGCCATATACCCTTCATTGCATGCAAGGCATATAGCCTTCATTGCATGTAACCCATATACCCTTCATTGCATGCAAGCCATATAGCCTTCATTGCATGCAAGCCATATAACCTTCATTGCATGCAAGCCATATACCCTCCATATACCCTTCGCGCGGGAGCATCACCGACCACCTCTGCCTGTAGTGGGCGTTGAGGCGGGCTGCAGTGGTTGTGAGGCGCCCCCGCCTGTATTTCGTCTTGGCAGCGTAGTTGGCTAGCAGGCGGATGAAGTGCACCGTGTCTCGGGCCAACGCCCCGTACGTCTCAACCGCCAAGCCAAGGAAACCGACATAGCTCGGGCGCCCCTCATACAACCTGTGCTTCCCCTCCGAGGCCTCCTCCGCCGCCCACCCCGGCGGTTTCCTGGCCCTCGTGTCCCGCTTCTGTAGCACTGGATCCGTGATGGTGACATCCGTCACCCACGTCTCCCCCGACTCCTGATCCCAAATGGCCAGGTCTGCGCGTTTACGGAGGACTGGAGGCGAGAAAGCCGAGGTTTCATGAAAGGTCTTATATCCCGCCTCATCAGCCATCCTGAGAGCCGCATACACTAGGGCATTGTGAGTTCGCACTGCGTCCCCACCATCCCCACACCGCAGGAGGTGGTTGGGGAGGCTTTTGTCGGTGATTGCCGAGTTCCCTCTCTTACAAGGGCACACCTCTGCGACTGGCAACTCCATGCCAAGGCGTAAGCCGAGGGCCATTGAAAATTGGCCAGGAGAGAAACTAAGGTCGCCCCTCGTTGGCACGGCGTGGAGCCAGTCTCCCGCCCCTACACCCTTAAGGCTGATAAGGCGAATGGCGTGGCCCCTGTCCTCCCCCGGCCTGTCCTGGAGTGTGTCTGCTAGCAGGTCGAGCGCTCTGCGCTCATTAACGATCTTAGACAGCCTCAGCTGCAAGTTGCCGCTCCCCAGTCCCCCTGATCGGTACTGTTCCAGCACTGCTTGGGCCTCGGCCGGCAGGCTGGCTTCCATTGAAGCTCGGGGGTTGACCTCCGGTGGGGTGGGGGACCACTCATGGGAGAGCAGGGACGTGGCCCTCGCGAGGAGGCAGTCTGATGGCAGGTTCAGCTGCTGCAGGAGGATGTGGGCCGCCGTGACCGAGGCAAGATATGCCACGGGCGCTTCAGAGACGGGGTCGATCACTCCCAGCCCTCCCAAACGGATAGGCAGCGTTGCCTGACGCCACAGCAGGCTCTGTTCGAGCTCCGAGGTGGGAATACGAAGCTTTGCCGCCGTTAATGCCGAGCCGAGTAAGGCCTCGCTCCACTCCCTCCATTCCCGTGTACTTAGAGCAGAAGCCGGTGTCGTCCTAAGTAGGTAAGAGATCCGCCGCGAGATGCTGCGAGACACCATCAGGAGGGCGTGCTGCGGGTTTAGTTGGGAAATGAGGAGGAGCGGCGATCGTGCTTCGCCCAGGGTATGGCGGACGTGGCTAGTGCAGAACTCGGCCTCCCCAACAGGGCTCCCGAGCACCCTTATCCCCCCCTGTACAGCTGTCAACCCTGGTGGGAGCCCCTCTTGTGACCCGTTCCTCCCCCAGGCAGAGGACTTGCTGACATTGCACCGAAGGCCTACTGCAGCCAAGGCCGCCGCGATAGAGTTAAATGCGAGGCAAGCGGCCTCCCGTGGACCGACGATAGTGATATCGTCCGCGTAGGCAACCACCGCCACCTCAGGGAGGGTGGCAGCCGCACTCAACAGCGCCGGCTGGATCGCGGCTGCAAACAGTAGAGGACCGAGGGGGTCGCCCTGCCTCACACCCCGCGAGCTCGGGATGAATTCGACGCCGAGCCGGTTGTCCACGAGAAGTTTCGACGTGCCGTCGTAGAGGTTCCGCACCAGGGGGAGAAGGGAACTAAGGTTCGACCACTGCAAAGCCTCGAAGAAGGCTTTCCGCTCGACGCTGTTGAACGCATTTTCCACGTCCAGCTGTAGTGCAACGCGCGAATCGTCCTCCTGGAGCAGCGCGCGAACTGCATGTATGATGCACTCAGCTCCCCCTGGGATCGCCACTCCAAACTGCACTGGGAGAAAAAACTCGCGAACCTTCGGACCTAAGGCTTGAAGAGCCGCTTTCGCGACGACGCGGAGCAGGGCTTCTCCGATTGCGATAGGTCTAACCCCTCCGCCCGGTTTCTCTAAAGCGATCAGGCGAGAAGGTAGCAGGATGTCGCGAAGCTCGTGGGGCTGCACCGCGCTCAGTAGTTGGTTAACTAACCTAGTGAAGAGAATCATAATCTCCTCGTTGGCGAGTGCTGGATCTCTCAGGTGCTCAAAACACATCCCAGAAGGTCCCCCTCCGACCCCGTTCGGACACTTCGCCAAGATCTCTTTGAGTGTTTCGAACGGCACAGCGAGCTCGGAGCTTGTACACCCTGTTACCCATGCGGGGATTTCTTCACCAGCGGATGGATGTTTCGCCTGGAGCGCAGCGAGGGTCGCCGAGGTAGGTTCGGCAAGCGGGGTCGTGCGTAAAGCGGAGACTGCTTTAGCAATATTCCCCTTTTTCACTAGAGCTTCTCCACGTGCACTCAATCCTTCATCGTCCGGTTGGTGCCGTAACGGGGCTCCATTGTCGGGTATAGTGCCCGCTTCCTCGAGAAGTTCGTCCCACTTTCCCTGCTGGAATCGGTGCAGCCGAGCCTCAATCCCAGTCCAACGACTTCCACTGACAGGTTCGGGAGCAGGTCGAAGCGTCAGCCTCGGCAGAAATAAGAGAATCTTCCATGCGCCTGCGCAAGTGGGATATTTCTCCAGGCGTAGCAGTGGCGCCAAAAGGCAGAGGCAGTAGGAGTCCAGGATTTGTGGGGGCAAACGGCGGATGAGGAACGGTTGGTCCACCCGTTGCAGCTGCGTCACCTCCCATCCCCCTGCCGCCTGCCAGATGGCATCATCGTTGGCCAGGTCGGAGGGCGAGAACACATCTAACCCTTCCGGCCTGCCAGCTGGAGCCTCCGTGGCACGGGGGTTCTGGGTATTACCCCCCGAAACCCGTCCTCGTATGTTGGAAGTGTTCCTATCCACGCCTGCCTCCTCATGCAGAGATACCTCTTCTGATTCCGCTTCCTCCTCACTCATAAAACCGGGGTCAACAGCAGCATTGTCAGAGCCCCCGGTCTCCTCATTTGTCGGGGCTACCGTTGTTTCTGGCCTATCGTGTCGCTCCCGCCACGTGCCCACTCGATCGGGGATCTCCACTCCCCTGACTAATGCTCTTCCGCCTCTCCCTCGGCGCCGTCCCCCCGTTCCTCCCCCTCGCTGTCTGCCTCCGACCCCCGTTGGCACGCCCGCCGCACCGCTCTGTCCTTGTCCCGCCGGGAGCCACGGTGTGCGGCCTCCGCGGGGTGGGCCCCAGGTTATCGCCGCTCGGCGAGTCGCGTGGCGGGTGTTGCGTGCCACACTGTCCCCAGCGAGGGGTGTTTCGACCCGCGCCGCCGCCGCCGACGCTGTGGCCACCGCGGGCTGAACAACTTCGATCCGCGCGGGGTCGTCTCCTTCCCTTGCAGGCCCGCCGGTCTCCTGTCGGCTCCGCGATGCCGCCCGACCCACTCGCTCTGGTTGCGGTTGCCCTTGCCGAAGCCAGCCCAGGAGGGGTCCTGGGGAGCCAGGTCCCAGCCCTGATCCGAGCCGCCTCGGCGCTGGCTGGGCACGAAGCTTCCTCCCATAATTCCCAGGGGCGGAGGAGGCAGCGCCAGTTCCGTGACCAGTCGTCTGGCCGCGCACCCGACTGTCTCCGCCCACGTCAGCAGCATTCGTTCCGACGGGCGCAGCGGCGCCCACCGAATCCCCCACGGCCTGCACCTCGGCCCCGCCCCTTGCAGCGACAGCCACAACCTCGGCAATCGCAGACGCCTCCACCGGCGATGGCGACGCCGCCACCTCCGCCTCCTCCGCCAGTACCGGCTCAACACCCGCCCCCTCCTGGCCCGCAGCAGGGCCTCCTGCATCAGCCATCGCGGACGCGGCTAAGCCGGCGCCAGAGACGGCGGCAGGCGCGGGTGCAGACTCCTCCGCCGTCCCAGCCCGCGCCACCGCATGCCCAGCCCCAGCCGACCCCCCAGGCTCCCCCTGACAGGCCTTTGCCGCACACCCCTCCGGTCCCGGCCCCACCTGAGGAGACCGCCCCCGAAGAGGCGTCGGCGTCGAGTCTGCACCGTCGCCATGAGGATTTTCCATGGGAGGCGTTATCACCGTCGGCGTTGGCGGCGCCCTCTCCTCAGTCCCCGCAGCACTGTTGGAGCCTGTGGGAGGACGCCCCTTCCCGCGAGAGGACTCGTCGCGTCGAGCGGCGCGTGTCGAACGTTGGGACATGTTTAACCCTTTTGTCGCTGGTTCTAGACCAGCTGCACGCGTGTCAGGTCCGGATGTCGCGTCTCGGCGCTGGGCCTCCGGTGTTGTCCCCGCGGAAGCAGTCGGAGGCCGTGGCGGCTGCGACTCAGCTGCTGCGGATGTTGCCTTCGATCGGGATGGTGCCGGGCGCCCCTGGATCCGCACTGGGGCCTGGCCCCGCCGCACTGCGACGCCTCGTCCTTGCCGCTCTGCAGGACCCCCACGACATTGTGCCGGCTGCCGCGTCCGTGCTGCGCTGGATGGACGGGCGCCTGACTTGGATTCTGGTAGAGTAGCTCCACGCCTCCCAATGCCCGCCCCTTTTGCTGCAGGCCTGGCCTTGGGCTTCCCCATGGTGGGTGCCCCACACAAGGGGGCCTTGCTGTTGTTGTGCAATGTTTAGGGCTGCATGTTGTAATGCCCTTCTGATATAGACCTTGTATCCCTTTGTCCTTGCCACCCCTCACGCGCGGCCGAAGGCCGCGCCAGCGAGCGGCGGCCGCCGAAGGCGGCCGGCGTGAGCCGACGGGTTTGGAGAGTGATCCTAACTCACCGGTGAATAATGAGCTCACCTAGCCTAGATCCAGGGCCTTTATACTAGGAAACCAGGCCTAGAAATGGCTAAGGACTAGATCCTAGGGAAGAGAGGCCTAGAAATGGCTAAGGACTAAGACTATGCCATCTCTCTCTCTCTCTCTCACTCTCTCTCGAACGAGCCGACGGGTTTGGAGAGTGATCCTAACTCACCGGTGAATAATGAGCTCACCTAGCCTAGATCCAGGGCCTTTATACTAAGAAACAAGGCCTAGAAATGGCTAAGGACTAGATCCTAGGGAAGAGAGGCCTAGAAATGGCTAAGGACTAAGACTATGCCATCTCTCTCTCTCTCTCTCACTCTCTCTCGAACGAGCCGACGGGTTTGGAGAGTGATCCTAACTCACCGTTGAATAATGAGCTCACCTAGACTAGATCCAGGGCCTTTATACTAAGAAACCAGGCCTAGAAATGGCTAAGGACTAGATCCTAGGGAAGAGAGGCCTAGAAATGGCTAAGGACTAAGACTATGCCATCTCTCTCTCTCTCTCTCTCTCTCTCTCTCTCACTCTCTCTCTCTCTCTCTTTCTCTCTCTCTCTCTCTCTCTCTCTCTCATGCGGATGTGGTACAGGCTTGTACCAAAGATGATTACAGTGTTTGGGAAGAAACAATCGTCGACGTTCAACATTCCGAAGGTCCATGCGATGCTGCACGTCGTTGACGACATCCGTCGCGGAGGACTCCCTGCTCATTATTGTGCGGATATGTACGAGCATCTCCACATCGCGCTAATGAAGCGGCCGTACCGTGCGAGCAACAAGAAACACGCGGAGGAGCAGATCGCGCGACGAACGCTTGTCGACGAGCTGGTCAACAGACTAGCGCAGCAGGAGGCAGACGCGGAAGATGCTGATGCAAGGAACGAAGCAATGAGACAGGTATTTGTGCTTACAATCAACCATTTTTAACGCAAATGTCCCAAGCTCGCGTTCCGCTATGTGTTTGGTTACGGGTGTATGAGCCTTTACGGGTACGACTATGTCTACGTGTTAATGTACGTACATGTGCATGCACGATGTCGTTCGTGCGACCAGGCGTGGGAGCGTGCGTGAGTGCGCGCGCTCGCGCGCGCGCGCGTGCGCGCGCGTGTGTGTGTGTGTGTGTGTGTGTGTGTGTGTGTGTGTGCGTGCGGACCATTGCCCACCCTGTTACACAGAGTTCCACATTAAAAATCCCCCCCTTATTTACTCTACGCCCATAACAGGCATTGGAGAGTGGTGTCCCTACTGTCACCGGGAAGAATGGCGTACTGGCATTGATTGCGGACAACACAGATTTGTGGCAAGCTTATAGCAATACCATTCCAGGCGACATGCACCGCTTGAAGGACGCCGCCGTGACATATCTCCAGCCGGGTGAGACATGCGAGGCTCGAATTGATGTTCATCGAGGTGTCGCAATCCCACCCGGTGAGAACTACGAGCTCTATAATCGACACGCATAATATGTCCGCGCAACACCACGTTTTCACAACAACCCATGGTATCCGGATGTCGCTGTCGAGATGAAAGACACAAGGGGCCAGAAGGTGCTGCAATTTTGCAAGGTGCTACTGATGTTTACTCTTCACAAAGTCCCGGATGAAGGAAGGGACTCTACGAGCAATAATGCAAGGGAGAGCGAACACGTGGCATTTGTTCGATTGTATGAAGTACTCGGGCCAGTAGGTGAATCTGTATTGGACCGGATGACATGGCTGGGTGGGGACAATGAGTACAGAATTGTTCCCATTGCTGCGATCAGAGGTTGATCGCTGCCAGGATCTACTCAGGAAGGTTCGCACGCAGGTAGATAGTGTTGGTGGGCCCTTGACCTCAATAGCAGAGTGAATGTAAATGCTTGAGATAATAATATCATGCAAAACAGAACATATAAATATGAGTACAGGGAATACGAATCGACCTATCTAGCCATGTACTCTAAGGGGTACATTCCCTTATTCGAATACATTCCCTTATGCGGCGTGTACAGTTACGAAACTGTTCGCACCCTTTTCCTTCTGCCTGCAGCTGCCGATGCCGACTGCTCCGACGGTCCAGATGCGCCCTAACCGTCTGACGCTTCGAGTCAATCCCTAACCGTCTGACGCTTCGACATTCGCTCTTCGATATTGCATGCTTCTCTTTGCTGCGGTGAGGAGTGCACAGTAATAATTAAATATTACCATTTGTAACACCCCCCTTCACTCCTGGCCGTAGCTCGACTTGACCTGCTTAACCACGCCGCTGAGTTCGGAGCAGTGTTGATACTGCTGGCGTGGCAGTCGCTTCGTGAGGAAGTCTGCTGCCATGTCACCGGTCGGGCAATAGGTCAAGTTGACCTTCCCCTTGTCCACCTCGTCCTTCACGAAGAAATAGCGCAGCGCAATGTGCTTGGTGCGGTTGACGAAGCCAGGTTTGTTCGCGATGCGAATCGCGCTCTGGTTGTCGCTTTGAAGGCGAAAGGTAGGCGAAGCTGGAATCTTCGCCTCTTGCAGGAGTTCCTGCAGGTAGAGGCCTTCGCGAACTGCTGCGGTTGCTGCGATGAATTCTGCTTCGGCTGACGACAAGGCAACCAGCTCCTGCTTCTGCGAGTTCCAGGAGACTGGTCCCGTTGGTTCGAGTCGGAACAAGAAACCAGTCCTGGACCGTCGATTGTCGGGATCTGCTGCATGATCGGCGTCCACATAGCCGATGAGATTGAAAGATGGGGTTGCTGCAGTTGAATAGCACAGCCCAATCTTGGGCGTTGAAACGAAGAACTGTAGAGCGCGCTGCAGGTCCATGTGATTCTCAACCGTTGGTTTGCGTGAGTAATGGGCCAGCTGACTTGCGATGTAGGAGAGGTCTGGCCTGCAGGTGACAGAGGCGAAGAGGAGGCATCCCAGCTGCTGCTGGTAAGTCTGAACTCCAACAGGGGATAGGGCTTTGTTGTCAGGTTTGTGGTTCGGTCCAGGGGTTCGGTAGGGAGTTGAGAGAGGTGCAGGTGAAATGTTGAACCGTTTCCCTAACTCCTCTGAGTACTTAGCCGCTGAAAGGAGAATGGCCTCAGGTGCGTAGGAGATGTTGATGCCTAAGAACTGTTCACCTCATAGTTGCATGTGATGTCGATGCGCCCGGCCAAAGCCTTCTCGAATTGCTCGAGTAGCTCGTTGTTTGAGCCTGTGTAGAGCAGGTCGTCGACGTAAACTGTGAGGAGAATGTATTCTCCGCGGAAGTCGCGGCGGTACATCCCTGGATCGTGCGGCATCTGCTTGAACCCGATTTCAAGCAGGATGTTGTGTAAATACTGCTGCCACAGCCTCGGCGCCTGCTTGATCCCGTAGAGCGACTTGCGCAGTTGACACACGCGCGAGTCCCCTTCGCCGTATGTATGCGGCTGCTCCACGTAAATCACGGCGTCTACTAGCGCGTACAGGAACGCGTTCTTGACGTCGATCTGGCGGAGTGGCAGGTGTCTTGCAGTTGCAATGGCGAGTAGGATTCGAACGGTGGTGTGACGGCTGACTGGAGCGAACGTCTGGTCGAAGTCGATCCCGTGCCTCTGGTCGTAGCCGCGCACCACCCATCGTGCCTTGAAGCGCTCGATCGTTCCGTCCGCTGCGGTCTTCACGCGGAAGAACCACTTGCCCGAGAGGATCCTTGCGCCTTTGATTGCCACTCGGTCGACTAACACCCAGGTGTCTCGGGACTCGAGCGCCTTAATCTCCGCATCCATCGCCTCGCGCCATTCTCTCTCGGCCCAGAGAGGGCTTCGCATGGGTTTCGGGGCTCGATGACACGTGGCGCCTTCGAGGTTGCGGTGTGAAGCCCAAGCAGCTGCTGTCGAGGCGACGTTGCGGGATGACTTCCTGCACATCGTCGTCATCCTCTCTGGTTCAGGTGGCGCTGGATGTGCTGCGCCTCCGCCGCTTCCGCCTGTTCCGCCCATTCCTCCTCCTGAGGAATCGTCGTCGTCGTCGTCGCTGCTGCGCCGATCTTCCCATGTGAACTCGCCCCTAGTATCCTGCTCCAGAATTGCTGCAGCGGCTTCATCTTCGGGCGTTGCGTAGCTGTGCCCGTTGTTCGCGTAGACTCGGTTCGCATTCCTCTGCTCGTCGTCGCGGAACTGCTCGAGGAAGAGACGTTCGTAAAAGATTACGTCGCGAGCGTGGGCGGTCTTCTGACTGAGCAGGTCCAGCACGATCCGTGCCTTGTACTCGTGACTGATGCCGAGGTGAATCCCCCAGCGCAGGCGGCTAGCGAATTTGCCGATGGTTGATGTCGGCGGGCGGTATTGAACCATGCACCCCCACACGCGGAGCATTGATGTATCTCCCTTAGTGCCGGTCCATTTGACATGCGGGGACAGGTTGCTGGTAATTGCGGTGGTTGAGAGCAGGTTGTGCACCCGCACGGCGTGGTGCCTC